CACTTGGTTCTCTAATCCTCACTGTGACGCTTGGAGTTAGAGGAGGAAAATGAGGCACAGAATGTCCCCCAAACCCTGACTGGGTAGACCTGTGAAGGCAGACTTCGTTTTGGGGTACTGCTAGGTCCTTGAGCAGCATAGTAGACACTGAAGGAGTGGTTGGTAAGCAAATGGGTGGATGGATGGATGGATGTGAAGGCACCTGATGGGGTTGGGACTCAGAGAGTCCAGCTCATGATCCTGGGCAGGCGTCTGTCCCTCCTGGAAGAGTCTAGGTGGGGCCAATGGTTGGGAAATGTGGGGACCCAGCCCCAGAGGCAGGGAGGGAGGCCCCGGTAGGCGGCGGTCTCCGATGCTATCAGAGACTCTGGAGCCAGTTGGAAGTCATTAGTCAGAGGCTCCGCCCGTTGCTTTGCCCTCATTCTGCACACTCAGGGGCGTTATCAGAAACTTCTGTCTTGGTCCTGCTGGCCTCTGAGCTTGGAGCAATTAAACCAAGGATCAGCCTGTCACCATTATCTCCCACAACAACAACAACAACAGCAGTAACCCTTGCTATTTGTTGAGCTGAAACCACATCCCTGGCAAGGGCCTCATGCATGCCCCTCAACAGCATCCGCACTAGGCATTAATTATTCACTGCCATTTTGCTGATGCAGCAAAGGGAGACCCAGAGACACTAGACCACACAGCCAGGGAGCAGGGAAGCCCCCTCTTAATCATTGCCACCTGTCTTGTCCTCTCATCTTTTAAGGCAGGGGGTAAAAGCAAACTTTGGAGTCCCCCAGAGCTGTGCAACCTCAGAGAAGTCACTCTACCTCTCTGAGATCCAGTTTTCTCATCGCCAAACAAGAACTAGAAAGCCAGACCTTGGGGGGTGTGCGCGAGGAAGTGATATCTATAAAATTGCGCTGTCAAAAGATAAGAAAGTAACAGTCATAGCACCTTCCATCCAGAACTTTCCAGGTACAATCCCTTCTGCCAAGTGTTTTCATGTGTGTGACTGGTGATCCACATAAACCTGCTTTGAGATCCAGTCAACAGGAAATATTTATTGAACACCTACTATTTCTCAGTTCCTGAGGTGACAATGGAGAACGGGGAAGACAGCGCCTGTTCTCAAAGCCAGGTTTAGTGGGAGAGCAAGACAGTTTCAGAACAGCTAGACAAGTGTTAGGATAGAGGAACAGGGCACCAAAGAAGACCACCTGAACCCTGCCTTGTGGGATTGGGAAGGCTTTATCAAAAGGTGATACCCAGGGGAAAGATGGAGTAGTAGTTGGCCTGCCGAAGAGGGGCAAGTGAGGACAAAGAGTGTTCCAGGCAGCGGGAACAGCATGTGGCAACTTCTGGAGAAAGTATGGCTCATTTGGAGGAATGGAGTTATCCCTTCCACCTAGATTATAAAGTTGAAGGTAGAGAGAGGTGAGTTATGGAGGGAGTTTATAAGCCAGGTTTAAGGGTTTGGATTTTATTTATGGGATTCACAGACGTGTTTTAAATGGAGGGTTTAGAGTTTGGGGAACTGGTTGGCTCAGCATCCTCAGCCATGTTCGATACGCCCAAGGGCTGGTGTTTGTTTGAAGGCAGAGGGAAACTCCGATTTGTTTGGGATTTTGCCCACTTGGTATCCATGGCACCATTTTCCCTTTGACAACCAACTGCCCCTCTTCTACTGGTTATGTTCTCAACAGGATGGTCAATCAAGGTGCTTCCCTTCCTCTGGCCAAGGGTGGGCTATGGCCCAGGAAGCATCTCCTGAATTTGAATCCTGAGCCTGGATATAACAATTGAACATAACTTTTTTTTTTTCATTCATGCCCAAAGTTGCTCCCTGAAGAGATTGTCCATTCGAGGCTCAGAACCGTTCTGGTTTCTGGTTTTCCTTATCTTCTGCAATTCTTTGGATTTGTGAGCTCCCATAATGACTGAATGACAAATAAATTGAATAAGTAACTAAACACACTTTTTTGTACTTATGGTACAAGTTCATTTTCTGTTGCTTGCTACCAAAGAACCCTAGCTCATATACCAATGGTGATGGTTTTACTGGATTCAAGCATTAGAAAGCTAGCTTAAGCAAAAAATCAAAAAACAAACCAAATAGGAAGAATGCATCGGGTAGGTACTGGGGTATCTTAGAAAACGGAGAGATGAGTTGCTTGGGAGGACTAGGGTCCAAGGAAGGTCTGGAGGATTTAGCACAAGGAAGATACCACCCTTGAGTATTTGCCTGTGTTCTCAGGCTTGTCTGTTTGTGGTGGCAAGATGGCTGCCATATCTTAAACATCGGGACAATATCCCAAGACCTTAGAGAGTTGACAATAGTGCAACTCAATTTTGGTGGACTCCCAGGCTCTGTGTCTGCTCCAAGTTTCAAATTCCCAAGAAAATCTGATTGGCCCAGTTTGGGATAGGTGTCTACTCCAGTGGGGTTGAGTCTCAGGATGCAGACACAGCGTGCATGTTCTCGGGTAGCCATTGTGAACCAAGTGGCTGTGCCAGAAATGTGTTTGACACTGTCCATTGGTGGGCATCAGACACCTTGGTATGGAAAGCAGGGACATGGGTGGGATCATGGGCTACAAAACCAGTTTACCAGGCATCCTCAAATTGTGGAACCAGCCTTTGAGCTGGTTCACCATCACCCGAGGAGAGCCATGGGTTTCCCTAGAATCAGAAGAACTCCTGCCTTGGAAACTAGCCTTGTGCCCAGGACCTAGGGTCCTAGATGGTGACCCTGTATCAGGTAAATGATTTCCCCACACCCACCACTGTGCTCTGTAGTTTTTTTTTTATTGAAGTATAGTTGACATACAATATTATAGTAGTTTCAGGTGTGCAACATAGTGATTTGACAATTATATACATTACACAGTGCTCACCACAATAAGTGTAGTTACCATCTGTCACAATAAAATGTTATTACAATATTATTGACTACACTCCCTATGCTGCACTTTTCATCCCCATAACTTACTGATTTTATAACTGGAAGTTTGAACCTCTTCACCCATTTTGTCCATCCCCCACCCCTTCCCCTCTGGCAACAACCAGTTTGTAATCTGTACTTATGAGTCTGTTCTGTTTTTTGTTTGTTAGTTCATTTGTTTTGTTTCTTAGATTCCACATATAAGGGAAATCATACGGTATTTGTCTTTCTCTGACTGACCTATTTCAGTTGGCATAATACCCTCTAGGTCCCTCCATATTGTCACAAATGGCAAGATTTCCTTCCTTTGATGGCTGAGTACTATTCAACTGTATACATACAGCACATCTTCTTTAGCCATTCATGTATCAGTGGACACTTGGTTGCTTCCATATCTCGGCTATTATAAATAAATATTATAAATAAAGCTGCAGTAAACATAAGGGTGCATATATCTTTACAAATTAGTGTTTTTGGTTTTTTTGCGGGGGAGGTAAATGCCCATCAGCAGAATTACTGAATCCTATGGTATTTCTATTTTTAATCTTTTGAGGAACCTCCAGAGTGGCTGCATCACTTGCATTCCCACAAACAGTGCATGAGGGTTTCTTTTTCTGCACAGTCTTACCCAACACTTATTATTTCTTCTTCTTCTTTATTTTCAATACTAGCCATTCGGACTGGTGTGAGGTGATAGCTCATTGCGGTTTTGACTTGCATTTCCCTGTGCTCTCTATTTTTGCGTCAGCACCCTTCAGTCTAGGTTTCTGAGAAATAACGGAGCACCCTAGTTAACAGGGCACTATTTCTTCGCTTTCTAAGATGGGACGCAGGCGATGGAGGAGACCTTTACAACGTGAAGATTTTATTGGGGAGAGAGGGTATAATTGAGTGAGCAAGCGGCTGAACTCAAGTTAGCAGGTAGAAGAAGACCGTAAGAACATTTGTTTCTGAGCTCATGTGAGAGACTCAACTGTGGCCCAGACATATCTGGGGGAAACTTTGAGGGGGCGCTGAAGTCCTAGTGGTCAGGGACTCTGAACCCTTGAAATTCTGGAGCAAGTGTTCTTGTCAGCTTAATTGTACTCATAGACTATGGAGGCCTGGGGATCTTTGGGTCAACAACATGAAGAGGCAAGTGGCATTGTGCATATGTCACAAATGCAGATATGGTAGGTTAGAGCAGTGAATTTACTCCTCACAGTCAGTGAGTGGCGTGCAGAAGCCCAGTAAATGGGATGCTTTGGTTTCAAATGAAACAGCCCACTAAAAACAGCTTAAATAGAAAAGATCATATCTTATTATTTTTTGAAATGGAAGTCTAGAGGTAGATGGTTCTGGAATGTTAACTTGGCAGCTCAACATTATCAAGCTCTTCATGGAGAAGTGGTTCTTGAAATACTGTCCAGGGACATCGTGGGGTCCCTGAGGCCTTTCAGAGGTTCCTCGAGGTGAAAATTATTTTCATAATAATAGAAAGATTTTGTTTGCCTTTTTCACTCTATCTCACCAGGGTACTATGGGATCTTCTAGTGGTTTTGTGATGAGTGATGACACCATCTCTCAGATGGCCAAGGGAATATGTGCTTGTGTAGTCCTGGGTTTTGAAAACTTCTCAGTCTCGATTTCTAATACAGCCAATCTTGATAAATGAAGCTCATATATTTTTTTTAAGTAATAGATTCATTTGCATTTCTATCCTCTTGGTCAGACCAGGTGATGAGGGCAGAGTTAGTGGCAGGGAAGCCTGGAAAATGTTGTGTAGCTGTGTCTGAAACTTGGGAGGATCTTATTTCCAAAAGGAAAAGGGGGGCGGATGTATGTAGAAGGTTAGTAGACAGTCTGCCACACTCGCTGAATGAATGAATAAACTGATAGAATAACAGATGGAGTAATGAACCTATTGATGACTGTCAAGATCAACTGGAAGAGTGACAAACTCAGGGTTGATCAATTGCCTGAAAGGGGACAGGTGACCAATTGGCTAATAACTTAGGGTTGGACATAGGGGCAGCCCTCGCCTGCCTGTGCTTCCGACAACCCCTCCCCATGTCCTCCTCTTTTCCAGTTCAGCAATGTCACCTTCTTCATCTTTGGGCCTCTCATGATGTTTCTCATGCACCCCTACGCCCAGAAACGCTCCCGCTATGTTTATATCACCTGCATCCTCTTCATGGTCACAGGTAGGTGGGGGTCTGTGACAGTGGGGTGGTAGGGGTGGGGACCACCCCCCTTGACCACCTACCTTTGTCTCTTGCTCCAGGCCTGTTCTCCATGTACTTCCACATGACGCTTAGCTTCCTGGGCCAGCTGCTGGATGAGATCGCTATCCTGTGGCTGCTGGCCAGTGGCTACAGCATATGGATGCCCCGCTGCTACTTTCCCACTTTCCTAGGAAAGAACAGGTGGGGCGGGGCTGGTCCTCTGTTGATCCCACCATAGCCCATGTGGGCTCCTGGGTCCACTCCCTGAGCCCACTGGAGGTCCTTGGAATCCCTCCCCTGACCACCCCAGCACTTTCTTCTGACCCTACCTGACTTAACTGGCTTCCAGCAACTCCTCCTTTGAGAGTACTCGGGACCCCCAGAAATCCTCTCCTGATCCTACCTGGATAGTCTGGTACCTTCTCCAGAACCTGTCCGAAGCCACCTGGGGTTCCCAGGAACCCATGCTTAAGCTTACCTGGGCCCCAGGGACCTCTCCCCTGAGCCTATCACCTGGGCCCCCTGGAACTTTCCTGGGATCCTCCTGGGCTCCTCTCTTAACCTGAGACCCCTTTGAATCTCTCTCCTGACCCTATTTGACCTATCTGAGCCTTCGAGGACCCCTCTCCTGATAGTACCTGGGACCTCTGTGATTCCTTCCTTAATCCTACCTGGGTCCCCTGAATCCTTTGTCTGACCTCACCTGGGCCCTGACACCCTCTGCTGATCTGACTAAGCCCCTTTGAGCCTCCCTGAGACCCTCTCATCATCCTACCCACCCCTACCCCTGGGACCCCCTTCAGACCCTGCCTGGGCCCCCTTGTGACGTTTCGTTGGACCCTTCTCGGGACCCTCTGCTGAGCCCACCTGGGAACCTCAATACCTTCTTCTGAGTCCGGTTGGGCTCCCCGAAACCCCTTCCCTTTGCTCATCTACCTCTGCCACAAGATCTCCTGACCCTGCCTAAACCCCCCAGGACCCTCCTAGCCACCCTCCCACAGCTGCATCCTTCTTCCCCCAGGCCCCAGTTCATCTGCCTGGTCATCATCACCACTGTGGTCAGCACCTTCCTGTCCTTCCTGAGGCCCGTGATCAACGCATATGCCCTCAACAGCATTGCTGTGCACATCCTCTACATCGTGTTCCAGGAATACAAGAAGTGGGTGGTGGTTGCAAGCGCCTCCCTGGGGAGGTGGCTCCCATCCCCCTCCAAGCACGCCCCTCACCCCCATGTACTCACCCAGTCCCAGGGCTGGAGGTCTCATCGACTCCAGGCTCAAGGGAGGGATGTCCCTTCCCCAAGATCATCTACTAACAAGGGGCAGGGTTAGGATTGGAACCTCAGGCTGAAACCCCAAACACACATACAAGCAGAGACTGTTGTATGATAAACCTCCATGTGCCCACTAACTGGTCCCGACAACCGTCCGCATTTTGCCAACCTGCATTACACATTCCCCCCAGATTCCATATACTGGCACCCATTAACTTTTCAGGATTGAACTCTCCCGATAAATAATTATTATTATTATTTTTTTAACCCATACCAGGTCTTGGAAGGATAAAAAGAGGGGTCTTTGAAATGGGGCCATTTGAGGAGAGCTGAATAAAAGGGTTATTTACGAAGGAGAGAGCAGGTGTCGGCAAATCACTAGGGATCATTTAGAACCGTTGTGCTGATAAGAGTGGGATCCTATGACCATCAGGAGACCTGGGGTGGGGGGGAGAAGGGGGGCAGTGATTACAACGGTGTGGAAGGAGAGAGCCCTGTGGAGAGGGCCTCCTTAGCAAGAACCGTGACCTCCAGTTGCTGGTTGCAGCTAGCTTGAGCCAACCCCACATGGAGGAGGCCAGGAGAATAAATATTCTAACCATACCCTTCTCTTACCCTTTGGTTTCTTGCTGGGGTGCCTCATTGGCCAACCCATCTAGAAACCATTGGCCAACCCAACTAGAAACCATTGGCCAAACCAACTGGAGGCCATTGGCCAACCCAACTAGAAAGCATTGGCCGACCCAACTAGAAAGCATTGGCCAACCCAACTGGAGGCCATTGGCTAAACCAACTGGAAACCGTTGGCTAATCTAACTGGAAGCCCAAGGACAAAGGAATCCCCAGCTTCAGTCCACACAGGTCAACACCCCGCCTCCCCGGGGCATAGGGCAGAATGGAGAGGGGTAGGGAAGGATCTAGAGGGACAAAAGGCAGATAGGGCACACACAAGGCTAATCAAGTACCCAGATTGCACCAATATTGCCTCAGTTTCTCAAGATGTCTTCTTCCAACTAGTCTTGTTGAAATTGGAATGCAAACATAGTCTCTTAGGTTTTCTTTGTGTCATAGCATTCTCTCCCTCCCTCCCCTATCTTCATGCCTCTGATTTGATAACAGAAACTCCATCATTTGTCCTGTAGACCATTCTGGATTTGGCTGTCTGCTTCCTGTGGTGTCTTTCATTGTCTTTCTTTCTTTTAATTTCTTGCAAATTAATAGTTAGAACTAGATTTAGGTTTTCATATTTTGAGGCCAGAATATTGCATGTGTGGTGCTGGGTGTTTCTTGTTCCATGCCATTAGGACCCCATAATGAATGGTTGCTCCACATTATTGCTATTAAGGTTGATCAGTGGATTCAGGTGGTGTCATCTCCTCCCTTTATTATAAAGTTTTCCACTGACTTTTCACCTAAGAATTTCAGCAGCCATTCAGGCACACTGCTTCCATCCATGGATTCATTAGTGGTTGCAAGAAGGCGGTTTGCAGATTCCATTACTCCTTCTGCAATGATTATCTGGAGTTCTTCCATCAAGAAGGACTTTTCACTCGTCAACCTGGAAATACAGTTTGCACAGGAATGACAGGATGGATAATTGATTCTTTCCCTTAATTGATCTATTTCCAGAGTAATGAGTTGGGGCCTTAGCCATCTCTAGTGGGGACCAATGAAATTTTTAAGGAAAGTATTATGAACTCATGGATGTTTAAATCTCAGAAGTGTTTCAATCCATTGCACTCGCCATGCTATATTTTTAGCTTTTCATTTTGAAGTAGTCACAGACTCATGACAAATTGCAAAAATAGTGCAGAGTCTTGTGTATCCTTCATCCAGCTTCCCCCAGCCTCTCCCAGTGGAACATCCTGTGTAACCATAGTACAACCTTAAAAGGAGGAAATTGACGACAGAACAATGCTGTTAACTAGACCTCAGACTCTATATTCAGATTTCATCAATCCTTACTCATTATTCTTTTTTTTGGTGGTCAAACTCTCCCATTTTAGACTAGGGGGCAGGGCCTGCACTTTTAACCATAGAGAAGTTATTGCCTCGTTAATCCCTGATATGCTTTTTCCTGAAGGATGCTGGGTGAGCTCTGCTGTTGGGGAAACAGATTCTGATCTTGAGTTGTCCCCAGATGTGGCCTCCAGAGAATTTGCCCTCCCATAGCCACACAGACATGAATTCTCACGCACTGACTCACAGGTGTGCACACACTTACAGCCCGCCCAAGACAAACAGGGGAGGGCTTGTTGGTTAAGAAATCTGCAGCCTGACAAACCTGGTTCAGACCCCAGCTCTGTCACTTGCTATCTGTGTAACCTTAATCTCATGTGCCTGTTTTCTCATCTACAAAATGAAAATAATAGCATTGTTGTGAGGACTGAGTTTTTATCTGAAGAACTTTTAGAACTGTATCTGGCGTCCTATCAGTGCTCAGCAAATGTTAGCAATCATCACAAATTAGGCCCCCTCCCTCTGGTACTCTTGGTTCTTCCCTCTTCCCAGCCTCATCTCCTTGGATGGAGGAATTTCCCATCAGCCCCTTCAGGCTCTGCTCTCCGAGTCTGGCTCTAATCTTCCTCCTTCTCTCCCTTAGGACCAGCAATAAGGAGCTTCGGCATATAATGGAGGTCTCCGTAGTTTTATGGGCTTTTGCACTGACCAGCTGGATCAGCGACCGCTTGCTTTGCAGTTTCTGGCAGCAGATCAATTTCTTTTACCTGCACAGCATCTGGTAAGCACCTGCCCTGTGGTATGGGGTGCCAGAACCAGAAAATCTCAGGTGCCAGAGTTTGGAGCAGGAACCTGGGGGCAGAGAGGGGAGGCACAGATGTTGGTGTGTGTGTGTGTGTGTGTGTGTGTGTGTGTGTGTGTGTGTAGGGGTTGGTTGCAATCGAGGGTCTGATCCAGAATGTCCCTTTGGATGGTCAGGATCCATGAGAAGTAAGGAGAGAACCAAAATGGGGGCATCCAGCTAGCTCTGGGGCATCTTGGTATCTTGTGCTCTCACCACCTTCTTCCTGCTCCCCACAGGCATGTACTCATCAGCATCACCTTTCCTTATGGCATGGTTACCATGGCCTTAGTGGATGCCAGGTATGAGATGCCAGGTCAAACCCTCAAAGTCCGCTACTGGCCTCGGGACACTTGGCCTGTGGGGCTGCCCTACGTGGAAGTCCGTGACGACAAGAACTGCTGATGTCTGCCAGCTTCTGGACTACCTGAGCACCTGCCAACTCACCTGTGTCTTGAAGAGGGAGTCCTGGATCAGGAGTTGAGAGATGCTCACGGTTCTTTCCTCTACCTCCCTTTCTCCGTCCTTCTTGTCCTGCATGGCTCCCCCCCAAGACAGGGGATGGACTTCATGAGCCTTCTGTGCAGCAGTCTGATGACCGTGGGGGAGCTGCCTGGCATAGCTCTCCTCCACGATCTGCCCTTATTCTCTTTCATTTCCTCCTTTGTGTTCACTTTGTGAGGCTGGATCACCAGGTGCTGGGATTACCTGGCAGCCACTGGGAATGACTTCAGGCTGGGGCTTGGTGCCCGGGCACCTCATAAATAGTGGGTGGTCACTACCACACCCTTTGGACCTGTCTTTGGCCATGCAATGTCCCTGGTACTTGGGGGCATCCCAGAGAACAGACATGATTTCCAGTTACCTCATCTGCCCTCACTCATGCATGCAGAGACCTTGCAGGTCCTCTCACACACATGCTCCCACAGACCTCTGGGGCCATCTCACTGCTAGGCAATGGAGCAACATGGAGGCCCACACTGGGCAGTCTGGCTGTTGCTGGGGCATGGGCATCAGGAGGGGAGCTGGGGTGGCCTGCATGGGCTCTCAAAGTGAGAGGAGAACAGGAAGGTGATCTCTGTGGTGGTTAAGAGCACAGGGCTTGGGGTCGGGCAGACCTAAGCTTGAATCCTGCTCCACCATTTCCTAGTTGTATAATCTGGGGGAAGTGATTTTTTTTCTACCTTTAAAGCTCAAGCACCTTGTCTGTAACATGACAATGTTTCTGCCTTCATGGGACTTCTGCATGGATAAAACAAGATCACGTACAAAAACTGTTTAGCCTGGAGTCTGGAAAACATCCATCCATCCATCCCTTTGTCCTTCCCTCCCTCCATCTATATTTAGCCATCCATTTATGTTCATTTACCCACCCAAATAATTTAATCACCCTTTCGTTCATCTGTGTTCCCACTCATTCATTCATTTGTCTCTTCAACAAATATATATTGAGTTCCTACTCTATGTCTGACACTACCCACTGGTGATACAAGGCAGCAAAGACATGCAATGTCCCTGCTCCAGTGAGGAGACAAGTGTTAGACAAATAAAAAGACAAACAAGGCATTTCCAGACACTAATACCTGCTGCAAAAATGATAAAGCAGGTGACGCTTTAGAGAGTCATGAGGTGGGGAAGCCGCCCTTTCAAGTGGGTGCTCAGTGGGGGAGTGCAGTTTCCAGATGAACCCTCAATGACAAGAGGACACCAGCCCTACTGAGAGCTGACTGGGCAAGACCATTCTGGCGAGAAGGAATGGCGGGTGTGAAACTCCCAGGGTGTGGATGAACTGGCACGACAAAAAGAACACACTCTCTCTCTTTTTTTTTTTAATGTTCAGTTAGCCAACATATAGTACATCATTAGTTTTTGATGTAGTGTTCAACGATCAGAAAGAACACTCTTGCTGGAACTTAATAAATGAGGGAGAGTGTAGAGTAAGAGATTTGTAATCTGGGGGTCTGGGATAGGTTTAGTATCCATGGACCACTTGACATTCTTTGCTAACGAGGATTGTCTGGGCATGTTATCAAGGCCCCTGGAGTGTGTCACTCCAAAAGGAGTAGAGGCTAGCCCATCTGGCCTGTTGGAGAGATGGAGAAATTGAAAAAGACCGCTCATGTTTATTGAGACTACCATGTGCTATATGCCCATGACACACATAATTGAACCTAATACCCCTCCCACAACCCTTCAGATAGACATGAACATTCTCAATCTATAGAAGTGGCTCAGAGAGGGCAAGCAACTTACCCAGGACCACACAGCCTGGACTCGAACCGGGTCTGTCCTGCCCCCAAAGTTCCTTGAACCACAGTTAGTCAGCAGCAGGATCGAATCTGGGTCACAGGGCCACTGCTTCCTATCCCTTTGAATTTCTTGTTCTGGAAACTGGAGGTTCTTCACCTCTGGCCCCAAGATGGATCGTACTGGGAAGAGGGGGGCAGAGAGGGAAACTTATAAAAGCAAACTTATAAAATTGCTTGCAAAATGTTGTCTTGGTGTTTTGGGGGGGAGGAGAGGAGCTGTACTTCCAAGAGATTCTCTAAGGGGGCATTTGGCACCCTGAAAGTGAAGAACCTCAGTTCAAACCTTCTGGTGGGGATAAGGGCAGATAGAGAAGCATCTGCCTCTTGTCCCCCCTCCCACCCCACCCATGCTTCTGTCCTTAAATACATAGCAATAATTTGTCCCCAGTGCCTATCTCCTGGCCCCTGCTGACCCATCCTCACAGCCTCCTTTTAGCCTCCTGGCTATGGAGGCAACAGGTGGGTAGGAGGTCTGGATACTTGTCTTGTCTAATTGGAACTAGCCATGTGATCTTGGCAAATCCCAGTCACCATCAGGACTCTTTGTGGCAAAGGACAAAATGTTCAGTTCCATCTGGCTGAAATGACAAAAGAACAAGCAGCACATATACTTTTGAAGTTAAAGATCAAGCTGCAGATATGGCTGGATCCAGGCTTCAAGTGATGTCACCAGGGGCAGTCTCCCTCCATCCCTCTGGTCTACCTCATGGGTGGGAGGCAGCTGCCAGCAGTGCTAGGCTTTACATCCTTCCAAGTTGAAAAGTATATACCAGGGGCACCTGAGTAGATCAGTCGGTTAGGTGGCTGCCTTCGGCCCAGGTCATGATCCCAGAGTCCTGGGATCGAGTCCCATATCAGGCTCCCTGCTCAGCAGGGAGTCTGCCTCTACCCCCCTGCTCATGCTCTCTCTCTCTCATGCTCTCTCCCTCTCAAATAAATAAATAAAATCTTAAAAAAAAAAAAGTATATACCAAAGCTCCAAGCGCACGTGCTCAATGTCATTAGTCAGTAGGGAAATGTAAATCAAAGCCATGAGATACCATTTCATATCTATGAAGTTGGTCATAAGAAAAAAAACAGAAAAATAAATGTAGGAGAGAATGTGGAGAAGTTGGAACCCTTGTACATTGCTGATAGAAATGTAAATTGGTAAAAGCACTGTTGGAAACAGTTTGGCTGTCCCTCAGAAGTTAAGCATAGAATTACCATATGACCTGGCAATTCTGCTCCTAGGGATATACCCAAAAGAATTGAAAATATGTATTCTAACAAATACTTGTACAGAAATGTTCCTAGAAGCACCATTGATAAGAGTCAAAAGGTGGAAACCATATAAATGTCTATCAGTGGATGAACTGTTAAATGTGGTGTATCCATACCATGGAATATTATTCTGCTATAAAAAGGAGTGAAGCACAGACTCGTGCTACCATGTGGATGAACCCTGAACACACGACGCTCAGTGAGAGAGCCAGAAACAAAAGGTCACACATAGTATGTGATTTCATTTCTATGAAACATCCAGAACAGGCAAATCCACAGAGACAGAAAGTGGATTTGTGAGTACCAGGGGCTGAGAGGAGGCAATGGGGAGTGACCGCTAATAGGGACGAGTTTCCTTTTCTTATGCCTTGGGACTAGATAGAGGTAGTTGTTACACAACATTGTGACTGTTCTAAATGCCACTGAATTGTACACTTTAATAGGGTTAATGCTTAATTTTATGTTATGTGAATTCCTGCACCACTAAAATTTAATAAAGCTCCCAGAGTCTCTCAGCTGGTCTTAGGTCATGCCCCACCCCACTAAACCAATTCCAGGAGCCAGAGAGATGCAATCCTTTGACTGGCCAGGTGTGGACCTAGGCTTCCTTGTGCCAGTGGGGAGCCCCACTCTAACTGGGGTCTGAGAGGGGTGGGGGATAAGTGGGGGTTGGGAGTTGAAGTCCTCCTTCAAGCCTTGTGCCCTGTCATGAGTTGGCATTCTCCCGGAAGGGCTGCTATTTTAAAATTCATACAAAGGGGACTTACAGGCTCATATTGGCCCTGGGAGGAGTACCAGGATCAGGGATTGTTTCACAGAGAAACGGCAAATGTCCGGTGTGCTGCCCTCTTCTGGGGAAATGCTTTGTTGCACATATTTTTGGTCGGTTCCCAAACCATTCAGGGTTCCCTATTGCCCATGAGATAAGGGGCAAATGCTTCAATGTGCCATTCAAGATCTGCTCTGTGCTGAGGTTGAGGTTAATCTAGGGTGGGACTCCAACTGGCCACTGGGCTCTGCTCCAGTTTGGTCATATTCAGTATTGCTATGTAAGGTTGTGTGTGCATTTGTGGCTGGCAAGAAACTGGCAGGTACAGGGAACATGCTCCAGATCAGAAAGAAGATTCCCCCCAAATTTTGATGGGCTGAACCATCTACAAGGTGAAAGGTAGGGGGGAATAAGTGCTAAGCCCTCCCTACGCGTGGGTGCAAATAAACTGGACCACTAGGGGGCGATAGAGACCTAATGTAGTAGCAGTTCAGCCCCGGGGCGGGGGCAAGCCAGACTCCCTAAGTTCAAAATGTTACTTTCTAGCTGTGGGAGTTGGGCCACCACTTATAGTCTCTCTGTGTCTCAATTTCATTGCTTGTAACATTGAGATAACGTGTATCATGCATTTTGTCAAGTGCTCAAATTACTATTTACTTTATGTCTTTCTTTAAATCTACTCCCTTTGCTCACACTGCTGTTTAAATAGGAAACATTGTGTCACTTTAAGAAGTCATTTGTTATAGATAAAAAACAACCAGAAAACTAGATACAGTAACAACAAAAAGTGTTATTAACTGCAGCTCAGTGATCCTGAACCCAGTCTGCACATTAGAATCCCCAGCTGAATTTAAACGAAAGTGTGTGTGCCTGTGCGTGTGTGTACATGTATGTGTGTGTGGGGGTAGGTGTCTCTGTCTTACTCCAGACTAATGAGACCTGAATCTCTGAAGGTGGGATTTTTTTTTTAAGGCTCCTGGCACTGGTATTTTTTACAGATTATCAGGAGATTTCAAAGTCCAGGCACCAGATATGATCACCTATCCCAGGCTCTGAATTCTAGGTCTGTTCTCTTGTCATTAAGGTAGATTAGAGAATGACAGGGAAGAGTTTAAAACACATGAGCACCAAGCCAAGACTTTCTTCTTGAAGGAGTTAGAAAGACTGAAGAGAAATGAAAAGGAACCAACCTTCTCTTTCATGATTCAGTATTATTTCATTTCATGCAACAACTATTTATTGAGCACTACTTTGCGGCAGGCACTGTTCTCAGGATACATCAGTGAACAAAACAAAGATCCCGGCCCTCTTGGAGTTTCCATTCCATTTAGGGGAGATAGACAATGGACTTAATAGTAAATATGTGTATATTAGGAAGTGATAAGGGACGCCTGGGTGGCTCAGTCGGTTGGGCATCTGCCTTCAGCTCGGGTCATGATCCCTGGGTTCCTGGGATCGAGTCCCACATCGGGCTCCTTGCTCAGCGGGGAGCCTGCTTCTCCCTCGGCCTGCCACTACCCCTGCTTGTACATGCTCACTCACTCTCTCTCTCTCTTTCCCTCACAAATGAATAAATAAAATCTTTATTTAAAAAGGGGGGTGATAAGTGCTGTGGATAAAGGAAAAATTAGAGCAGGGTCACAAGGGTTGGGGAGCTATGGTGAGGGGACAGAATTAGATGGGATGGTCATGGTAGGCCTCATCAAGAAGATTCCTGGCTTTGCCATATACGCATCATGCAACTTTGGGCTAACTCACTCACCTCTGAGCCTCAGTTTTCTCACCTGTAAAATGGGGCCAACAACATTTACCTCATAGTATTGTGAGGATGAAATGAGACAGTATGAGTTTGCACATAACAGGTGTTGGCTATGAGAAAATGGGGCAGCCCTCTGTTGACCTCCTGAAGGAAGGAATACAGTGGTTCTATTTTAAGCACAGGATGCGTTTTTAAAATTTTTGCTTTTTATTATAGAAATTTACACACACAGATATAAAGTATAAAGAATAGTTTGAGGAACAGTTTGACATATCCATCACCTAGATTCAACAATGTTTAACATTTGCCATTTTTGCTTCTATTTTGCATCTAATTTTTAATTAATATATTTTATTTTTTTAAAGATTTATCTATCTATTTATTTATTTGACACAGAGAGAGAGAGCACACAAGCAGGGGGAGTGACAGGCAGAGGGAGAGGGAGAGGCAGGCTCACCACTGAGCAGGGACCCAGGACCTTGGGATCATGACCTGAGCCAAAGGCAGACACTTAACCCACTGAGCCACCCAGGCGCCCCTTATTAATGTATTTAGACGGCAATTAGTACTGGCCGGCATTTATGCAGCCACAATGTATAAGTCCTTCTAAACCAAACCCATGCATCTCTAAAACAATAAGGACACTTTCCTACACAACCATAATCTCATGATCGCAACTAACCAAATACATTTTCAAATATCAGCTGCTATTATCCATATTCATATTTCCCCAGTTGACACAGCTTGTTTGTTCAAAACCCAAGGTCCAGTGACAGATGCCCACGTTGCAGTTCGTTGTGAGGCCACCTCCTGTACCTCCGGGCAGTCACCTTTTCTCTCATTCCCTCCTGTTGACACCAAGAAGCCAGGCTGTTGAGATTCCACCTTCTAGATTGGTCTGACCGCTTCACATGATGTCATCTCTCATGCTCCTCTGTATTCATGTGTTTCTGCTGTGAACTGGAAGTTACGACATTAGGGGTGATCAGATGCAGGGTTAAACTTTTGGGCAAGAACTTTCCTTTTGGTGCTGTGTACTTCTCATCACTCCTAGCAGGAGCCCATCATTCTGCTTGTCCCGCTGCTTTGCTGCTAAGAGTGGTCACTGTACCAAGGTGGTGACAGCATGATGTTTCCGTGGCAGAGTTACTTTTTTCCTCTTTGCATTTAGCAGACAATCTGAGGGAAGATCTGTGGCGAACATGAAACTATCCAGTCCCCTGTAACCTTTCAGGGAATGGTTTTAGCCTCCATAGATGACGCTTGTCCGCAATGGTTGTTTCATTAGTGGTTTGAAAATAGTGATTTTGCTATCATCCTTCCAACATTATCAGCTGGTGTTTTTCTGTGAAAAGGACTTTCCCTCATCAACTGAGCTCTTTCATGCTGTAAAGGCATGGTAAGTCAGGAGTTGATGTAGTTGGCACTTTCAAAAGTGATGAATGAGCTATGCTGTTGTTTTGATATTATCATGGACTCGTGGATATTTATATGTTCACAGTGTCAAGAAATCCATTAATTTTTTAATGTGGTAAAAATATACATAACAAAATTTATGATCATAACCACTTTCAGTGCATAGCTCAGTGGCATGAAGCACACTCACATCGTCGTGCAACCATGCCCACCCTCCATCTCCAGAACTTGCCATCTCTCCTAAACTGAGACTCTGTCCCCAGGAAACACTGACTCCCCACCCACTTCTCTAGCCCTGGCTCCCGCCCTCTCCTCTCTGTCTCTGTGAATGGGACTCCTCTAGGGATCTTCTATGAGTGGAATCACATAGGATGTGTCCTTTTGCGTCTGGCTTATTCCACTGAGCATAATGTCTTCCATATTGTAGCAGGTGTCCTTCCTTTTTAAGGCTAAATAATATTCCACTGCATGGATGGATCCCATTTTGTTTGTCCATTCAACTGTTGATGGACACTTGGGTTGTTTTCCCATTATTCTTTCCGATTCTTAAAGGGTTATGCTTGATTTAGTGGGAGCCCTGGGGATATAGTTTTGAAAACCCTCCACAGTTCAGAATCTAACTTAAGGAGAATTTCCCAGATGAGTAAGGGGGAGGTGGCTGAGTTCCTGAAGCTCTTCCTTGCAACAACTGTAGCCTGAAGGTTTTTCACTGCAAGCTTCCTTTAGAGACAAATGGCTAATCCCCCAATTTTTGTCCCTTTACCTGGGGTGGTGGTTCTGAAATTTGAGTAAGTTTCACTATCATCTGCAGGGCTAGTTCAACCATCCCTCTGGGTGCAGGCCACGCATCCAGAGTTTCTGATTCTGTAAATCAAGGGAGACCAGAATTTGCATTTTGAATAAAGTTCCCAGGGGATGCCAAACCTGCTGTTTCGAGGACCACTTAGAGCTACTGATCCACTTACATCCAGTTATAGGATTAAAAAAAAAAAGTTGTACGCACATTAAAGTTGCTGCTTATTTTCTCAGCATGTCCTTCATTTCTTCCCCCCAGCACACCCAGCCCCAAAAGGTACAGTATTACTATGACAGCATTTGGCCTTCTTCAGAGTTTTACATGGAATTATGTTCATTCCAAAGTTAGCTGATTTCCTGGTGCTGTTCTTCAGAGCAAAGTAGTGCCCTGATTACCTAAAAAATACTTGGCCGACACTTAAATGTGAAGGGGAGGGCAAGACAACCCCAAGCAAACCAAAAGCCCTGGTTTATTATAAGAAGAAATTTAAAATAACTGTACAGGGGCGCCTGGGTGGCTTAGTTGGTTAAGTGTCTGCCTTCAGCTCAGGTCATGATCCCAAGGTCCTGGGATGGAGCCCGGAGTCAAGCTCCCTTCTCAGGGAGGAGCCTGCTTCTCCCTCTCCTCCCCACTTGTGCTTCCTGTTGCTCTCTGCCTCTCTCTCAAACAAATACATAAAATCTTTAAAAAATAAAATAACCGTACAAGGGTCCCCAAGTTGCAGGCAGAAGTCCTATTGTCCGAGAGACAAGTGGCTTGCAAGATCCTAAAAAAGATGGAGCGATATGTCTCTATCTCATCTAAACAAAGTTTAGAAATTGTGAAATTACATGATCATGGGTAAATTAAGAAACGGTTTTAGAGGGATTAGCATGATAAATTTCACGGATAAAATGAGACTTTCTTGATCATTTTAATGTAGAAGATTTCAAATGTGTCTCATTCAAGTTAATATGAACTAGCATTACACGGTACTGAGTGTTCCCATTTCACAGATGCGCAAACTGAGACTCAGGGGGAGAGGTGAGTCGACCAGGCTTTCCCTGATGCAGATCCAGCTCTGGAAAATTAATTTCCAGTTCCAGAGCCCAGAGCCCATTCCATGACACGGTAGCAACACGTGGCCAGGAAACAAAAGTGTTCCTAGGGCTCCCTCCCCAGAGCTTGAACCGCCACCTCAGCCGGACCAGGTTAGGCTCAGGCCGGGGGAAGCTCCGGCCACGAGGCAGCGCCCCCTGCGGGCCGCAGTGCGCAGGCGCGGCACGCCCGTCCCGCCCCCGCCCCCCTCCACGTGCGGCGCACACCTCGCGCTCCCCTCTGCGGGGCTCGCCTCGCGCCTCCCTCCCTCCCTCCCACCGCCCCTCCGGTTCGGGCTTCCCATTGGCTGGGGGCTTCGTCCCTCCGACCGCAGCCCGGCAGGCCCCCGCCAGGCAGGAAGTCCCGCCCCAGGAGCGGCCGTCCGCGCTGCAGATTAGCCCAGGCGCCTGTCAGTCGGGGCGGCAGGCCAGAGTCGGCGGCGGGGGCCCGCGGTCGGTGCGCGACCCGGACTGGCGGTGGTTTCCGGTTCCGCGGGGCTGGCGGGCGGGCGGGCAGCCGGGAGCGGCGGCGGCGGCGGCGCCTGACAGACAATGAGGGCGGCGGGGCGGCGCTGAGCGGCGGCGGCGGCGAGCGACGCGGGGCCCGGGGGCGGGGCGGGGCGCCAGCCATGGACAATCAGGTGAGGAGCGGCCGCGCCGCCCCAGCGCAGCCCGCCGCCCGCCCGGTCCCCTCCCTCCCTCCCGCGACCCGCCCGCCGGGCCCTCCTGGGTCCCGGCCTCCCCGCCCACGCTCAGCTCCCGCCCGCCCCGCTTTGTGCTCGCCCGCCGCTCCCCCGGCCTTTATGTGGGGCGGGGGCGCCCCTCCCCCATCCGCGACCCCGGCCCGGCCAGAGCGCCTCGGACTTCTCTGGGGACCCCCGCCTGGCCCGGCGCAGAGCTCCCTGAGACACCTCCTGGAGCCGCAGCCCGGCCCAGACCCCCCGGGATGCCTCTTGTGATCCCAGTCCAGCCCAGAGCCTTCTGGGACACTCCTCGGGACCCTGGCCCAGGCCAGAGGCTCCACAGGCGGCTCAGACTCCCCTGGGACTCCCCCTGAGACTCCAGTCCAGCGCAGCACTCTCTGGGACGCTCCTCGGGCCCCTGAACCAGCCTAGAGCCACCACAGGTGGCCTAGAAACCCCTGCGATGCCCTTTGGGACCCCAGTGCGGCCCAGAACCCCTTGGACCCCAACCCACTCCAGAGTCGCCGCAGGCACCCCAGGGAACTCCAGCCCAGTCCAGAGAGTCCCACAGCTGCCCCTGGGACCCTTCAGATTTGTCAGATCTGGGCTGTACCACCCTTCTTTGGATCTAGGGCCTGTCTCCTCCTCTGTCCGGACCCTTGGCCCAGAGTCCCCTCAAACTAAGTGAGCCCGCAGCCTGCTGCTGCTTTTTCCTTAAACCAGTTGCTGGGGTTTGAGTCCCCCCCCAGCCTCCCCAACCCCAGCCGCCCCCAGAATCCCTGGGACCTTGGTGCAGCCTCCCGCTTCCTCAAACCTAGGCCCACCCTAAGCCTCCTTATCCCTCATTCTCTTCCAGGACCGAGCCTTCTCTCACCCTTGATCTTGCCACTGCCTTAGCCTAGGTGACCATTTCCCCTTGAACTCTGGCTGGGGCCTGGGTTTTTCCCACAAGGACCCAGGCCTGAGTTGAGCTCACCCCCTCATCCCCACTTTGGACTTGGGCTTGCTTCCTCAGACACTTTCGACCTCCCCGCCCCTTGCTTCCTCAGCTCCCTCTGGTTTCAGGCCCTGGTCAGTCCCTCGGCCCCTGGTGCCTGAAGGGCTCTCTAACCTTCAGACCTTTCTCTCACACCGGGCCCAGGGGCATTTTATGCTCTGACCTGGAGCCCCTAAGCCCTTCAGACACCAGATACCTCACTTCCCTCAGCTTAGGTCCTCTTTGCCCCCGCAGCCCTGACTTACACTTCCCCACATTTTCCCCCAGTCCAGATCTCAGTCGCCCTCCTTCACCCTCAGCTGGCTTCCCTTTGCAGACCTGCAGTCCGCCCCCCTCGCCCCCCGGACCTCTCTCCTTGCATTCAGGGTCTCCCGCTTCCTCCCAACATCCCACAGCCTGACGTTTTGGCTTTCAGCCACTGTCCTCTCCCCCCAGCACACCCCATATCCCTGCCTTCCCCAGCATCTTAGGGCCTTGCTCCAAACTCAGGGTGGTTCCCCAACCTCCATAAACTCTCCCCATGGCCCCTTTCCCTCCGTCCGGAAACCCGGAGTCAACTCTGTCAGCTTAAGTAAACCTGAGGCCTTTCAGGCCCTGGTCCCGCTTTCACCAGCTCTGCACGGTCTCCTCTTCAGTACCCATGCCCCTTCCTCTCTCAAGCCTAGGACTGTTGTGGTCCCCAGCATGGGGTCATTTATTTCTTCATCCTTGCCCACTGCCCCTGGCTTCCAGGGGCGCAAGGCCAGGAAGGGCGGTGGTGTGGGGCTATGGGGGTGGCAGCTGAAATCTGCAGTTAGGGCAGGTTGGGGCCTCCCTGGCTGCTGGCGCCACTGAGGCGGCTCTGTCTGGTAAGGCACTGTGTGGCTGTGAGGTCTCAGGGGCGCGTGGGCAGGAGACCTCCTATCTTGCCCATCCCGGTCACCTGTGGTGGTACGGGATCATTGTGGCCTTTCTCTTGAGAGGTGGGGTAGAGTTTATTTATAGCTGTTCAATGGTGGATTTCTGTAGCATGGTGTGAGTTCACTTCTCTTGAAGGGGCAGAGCTTGTTGCCTCCAGCCTGCACTGAGTTAAAAAACAAAAGAATAATATACCTTCAGTGTCTACTCTCAGTGAAGCCCCCCCTCCGTGGGAAAGTCTTGTTGGGTGCCACCTGTCACCCCACCTGCTAGTCCCCCAGGGAGGTATCTTCAGCCCAAATGTGTCCATTCCCCTGTGATTGGCCAGGACCTGGCTGTGTGGGTTGTTGTCATTTACGTAAGTGGAATGGTGGGAATAGGTGGCATTCTTGGCCGTGACAGAGGGAGGGAACAGTCTTGCTTGAGTGGACTGGTGATCACACTTGGGCTGGGAGAGGGAGATCTCCACTGCCTGGTGTGCGGCCGCTAGCACCTGTGACTGTTTACATTCAGATGCACCAGAGCGAAAAAGGCAGTTTCTCAGTGGCCCTAGCCCCAGTTTAAGTGCCCATTAACCACCACTACTGAGCTGCTGGCCACCTTAATGGGCAGCTCAGAGAGACAACAGTTCCATCATGGCAGAAAGTTCCATGGGGCAGTGCTAGTCTAGATCCTTACAGAAGTATTCGCAAGTGAAACTGACCCCAAAGGAAAGTATGTGGCATTCTATAGTCTGATTTCTCTATTCTTGGCTGCATCTCTGCCAATCTGGGAGAGGCCAGGAGCTCTGTCCCTTTCTTACAGAGATGGCAGTCCCTGGGAAGACAGGAGACAATGGTGTCCTTTGCCCAAGTGAGTGAGTTGGCTGTGAGTGTGCAGGAATGACTTTGGTGCGTGGAAAACGCTTTTAATTCACTAGAATCTCGGCTTCCCCTTTCTCCCTTGAGTTGCCCCAAACCTGTAAATGGCTCAGCCTGATGGGAAACAACAGGACTTTTCCCTAAGGGCCCCTTACCCTGCTTGCTTTGGGAGGGTTTGATTCTCTTTACCTTCCTGCCTTAGTCTCTAGAACTTTCAGGCTCAGCTAAGAAGGGGAATTCTGCATTTTGCTCTGGGCTCCCAACTTCTCAGCATTGAAATCCTTACCCCATGGCCAGGAAAAGTCTTTCTGATTGCCTTTGCCCTGACTTTAACCCATCTAACCCAACCCCCAGTCCAGACTCACAGGTCCATTGTGGGTTTTGTATTTTGGGGGGTCATGGCCAGGAGGCATGGGTGGTGTGGAAGGATGGCATGGGTGAAGATGGAGGCGATGGTGAGAACGTGGAGGACGGAGAACGGGGACAGTGTCCCCGGGCACAGGGGTGGCCTAGGGAGCCGGGGTGGTGTCAGCATCTGGATCGTCCTGTTCTCTGAAGGGACCAGGGAGTCCTCCCTTCACAGAAGCCCTGGGCCTGGCACCTGAGGTGGGCGGCGGACCCATTGAATCCCACAGTTGAAATGATACTTGCTGATTCTGCCAAGTTCAGGTGTGAGATCCCACTGCTGTTGACCATCCTCTGTTGTTCCAGAAGAGGAGGTTTGTTTCTGACAGCGATGGCCCAGTTTACAGATACGGAAATGGAGGCTTAGGAGGGTCCCGAGAGGAGTCAGGACCAGGTGGGATTCCTAGGGAACTGTGTCCTTTTCCCAAACCTTGGGGAGAAAGGCTCAGACTTGCACAGAGCACTAACTTCAGGGTGACGGGATTCTCCCCCACCCAGCTCTGAGCCCATCACTGGAAAGTTGACCTGCTGAGTAGTTTGTCCTAAAGTTACTATGTTGTATAGTACTTGAGGTAGGAACCAGAATCTTCTTCACCTTCTTAACCATCATAGTTCCTTTCTTTCCTTTTTTTTTTAAAGACATATATTTGAGAGAGAGCATGAGAGTGAGTGAACTGGTGGGGAGGAGCAGAGGGAGAGAGAATCTCAAGCAGACTCCCCACTGAGCATGGAGCCTGATTCGGGGCTCGGTCCCATTACCCTGAGATCATGATCTAAGCTGAAATCAAGAGTCAGACACTGAACCGACTGAGCCACCCAGGCGCCCTGTATCCATCATAGTTTCCAACTCAAAGTTTTGCACTTAGCTTTGCCAACTGTTGGTTGAATAAAAGTAACTAGGAATCAGTCACTTTGTAACCAGGCCCACCTGGCATGCAGACGGATGCCTTGATTAGGGTTGTGCTCCTTCAGAAATCTCCTAGTGCTGCTTCCTGGAGAACTTTGGTGATAGCCAGTACACCATCTCCACGTCTGTGGGTGTGAACGTCAGTACACGTATGTAGTATAAACCCCGTCCAAGCCTTCCTGGCCAGCTGGTAAGGGTCAGTCTTCCTGGGAACCTGCAAACTAAGGATTGGGGGTGTCATCACATCTCCTCATGGTCTGCACACTTATCCTTAGTTTCCAGGGAGACATTCACCGAGCCCCTTCTTGTCCCTTTGTCATTAACCTTATGCCCTGGGCCAAAGGGACGAGGCCAGACAAGCACAGGTGCTGCCCCCACCACCCCCACCGTGTGTCACTGGTTAGAAGACCAAGGCGTTGTGCAGGGGTTGTGAGAGGTCCCTTGGCTCTGTCCCTACCTCTGGGTGGGCAGTCTTTTGCTTGAGAGGATTGTCACTGAGGGATATCCATCATGTTCCCATCTTTCTCATGTTCTGATCCAGTGACTGCTCTTGAGAGCCTCCAGCTGGGTCTGGCGGGGAGAAAGTTCTGCAAAGAGTGTTTTATTTGGTCTTGTGTTGCTATCGCTCTGTGGGACCAGCACCTTCTCCCACTTCTGTACATGTGGACTATGTTGCCAGCAGCCGTGCCAGACCCAGTTGGACTTGGCACGGTCACTCTAGGCTGATGAGGGGAAAAGGCTCTTCGGTGTTCTCTCTTCCTGGGAGGGGAGGGAATTATTGTATCTGAGGGAATTGGATACGGTAGCCGAACTCCAGGCATAATTATACCCCTTGGTAAAGTATGAATTCCCAGGGGAAAGGGCATCTGTTGAAGAGAATTCCCACGAGGAAATCAGGGGAACTCTTACAGATAAACTCGTTGTTAAAGACCTGCCTTTGGGGGCCCAGGCCGAGGGCAGGGTTCATGGGACGTGGGAAGAATCCAATGAGGAAAGGCCTTAGAAGCAGCGGAGCTGTTGGAAGGAGGCTGGCTCACTATGAGTCCACACTTGGGGGGATCTCTACTGTTTAATGAAGAAGTGTCCTCCAGGGTCTATTTGCCTGGCTTGCAGGACTTAGGATTACCACCCTTGGGTTCCAGTTGATCTGGCGAGAGCAGTGCATGGCTGAAGGCCCTCAGCCCAAGCCTAACTGTCTCCGATCACCCTCAGAGCCCTGGAGCTGCTCCATCTCCATCTGAGGGTCTTCCAGATGATATCCCAGAAGTAAAATAGTGAACTCTTTCCGGGGCAGGTGTGGAATGTTCCCCCTTTGTTCCCAGCTTTTGTGGGGGGAGTGGGTGGCAAAGTGGTTCCCAGGGTCCTGGGACATGGCAGGCACTGAGGCCGGGTCCCTGGGGCTACTTCCAGCCACCCACTTGGAGGTTGAGCAGAGTGCCTCCAGGCAGCAGGCGGGACAAGTGAGTTGCATTCCTGCCGAGACAGTTGAGAGCTTAACCAACTGGCAGTTAACCTCTTTATAAAGCCAGGCACCCTTCGTGGAGAAAGAGCTAACTGATTCAACTCAATTCCTTGGTTCTGCTGCATGGGGAAGGAGTCCAGGTGGAGTAAGGCAGGAGGGGGGCAGAACCCTTGAAGGTGGAATCGGCTTAGTTGTGCTAATAAATTATCATGACTTGACAAGTCAGAGTAGCTGGGGAGGGCTCAGTTTCTCTCCTGTCTCCAGCTCAGGTAGCTTGAACGTCTTACTGAATCAGTGATTTCTTTTCTAAGACAGTGGGCTCAGAATCCGTGTGACTCCACCATCTTTATTTCTTGAAAGATTCCAGCATTCGGAGGGGGGGCATTCCTCTTGTTAGTGCACCAGTGTACGCTGTCTTCGGCCCCTCAAGGCGGGGCAGCGGGGGGGGGGGGCGTTGTCCAGGCTGAGTTGGCGCCAGCCCCGGGGGCATAGATGCTGCCCGGGCAGAGCTTTGGGCATGGTCTGCCAGCTGCAGAGATCACCCAGCACCGCTTCACAACCTTCCTGTTTACTTTGGCCTCTGGGGCGGTTTCTTGGCGCTTCGTTCTCTCCCTCTCTGATGGAACTGTGGTCTTCCATTCTTTCACAATAACTGCCCTGCCCCTGGTGTGCCCTGGGTAGGAGCCCCAGCTAATCAGAACTGCTGAGAAGGCAGCCGGCTTGGTGAATAGCCGACTCTGAGGAGACCTCTCAGGACATGGGAGTTAACCCCCAAGAACCAAAAGTCAGGGTCGTCTGCCGGCGTATGGTTATGATCATATGTAGTTAGTTCACCTGTAACCCTCCCAGCAGTCCAGGGAGCATCTCCCGATTTCTCAGCGTGAAGGCAGAGTTTCTGTCCTGTGTGTAGGGGCATCTGGGGGTTCTGGTCCACTCGGGGTAATGTAAATACTGGTCGGGCTCATTTATGGTGAACATGGACCATGTGCAGTGCTCTGCACATGGATGTTTGGGTTGATTTGAGCATTACCTGTTTATCCAGACGTTTGCTCCCTCGTCTCTAGCTTTTTGTGTGGTGTTTCCCCCTTGAGTATCCTGTCGCCTGTCTCCCTCCCCACACCCCGCCACCACATGGCATCGGCAGCATCCCAGTGCCCTGGGTCTTGGGGTTGAGCTTCCTTGTCTCTCTTCTATCTGGTCTTTTTTTTTTTTTTTTTTTAAGGGGGGAGCTTGAACTCACGGCTCTGAGATCAAGAGCCGCATGCTCTACGGACTGAGCCACTCAGGCGCCCCTCCATCCACTCTCAAGTCCTGCCAGTTCTCCCGTTTCGGACTCTGCTAAATCTTTTCCAGCCACTCCCTCTGGTTGCCTCCTAGCAGGCTTGTTGTTTGTCTGTCTGTCCTTTTCTGCCTTCAGCCTAAACTGTACACAATTGCCGGGGAATTTTGACTCAGATACTGTTTCCTTGCATCCATCATCTGCTTACAATTGGCTGTCAGTTCTGCTGTGGGGAATCTAAATGCTCCATCCCAACCCCCACCCGGCCCTCCAGTGGCCCCGGACCCAGCGAGCCCCTGTTCTTTTCCCCGTGGAGCCCCACAGTGACTGCGATCCCGTGCTGGGGGACCTCCTGCTCTGTGGTTTACAGTTGGCTCCCTAAGTGCGCAGAGCCTCCCACTAGCTCTCCCATACACTGGGAACCCCTGTCTTATCAGTGTCCTTATTGGCCCTTCCCTCTTGGAAATCACCACTTAGAATTTGCTGATCTAGGAAGCCTCTCTAGTTTAAATTATCTCGTATTATTGATGCCTCGTATATGGTGGTTCCAAGACGGAAGTAAAGGATGAGCTAGATGTGGTCCCTGAGGAGGCAGCAGTGAGCAGTCAAGGAGCAGGGCGGAGGGGATGAAGTGGGTGCTGTACCCAGACCGCCGCGGAGCCTCTAAGGCATGCCATCAGCTTGGGGACAGCTCATGTGTTTGTGTGTGCGCGCGTGCCCATACCTCAACACATAAAACCTACACGTGGATGGCAAGACACACTCTGACTTCAAAAAGCTTGAAAAGTGAAAATGAGCATCTTAGACTTGAGGAAACACACAGGTGGGAGGCGGGAGGTGTGCTGAGGTGTTTGGACTTTATTCTGAGGGAGTGGCGAGCCACTGAAAGCTGCACCGGCAGAACGATCATTTGTGTCTGTCCTGCTTTCCTGGCAGTGACCGAGAGGGCGAGGAGGGAGGGAGGACGCTGGCGTGGCGATCTGCTCCTGGGGGGGGTGGGGGCTGGGAATCATAGAAGAGGCAGGAGGACACACAAGGTCGGCTGGGGAGAAAGGGGTTCCAAAGTACAGAGCAGGAGGTCTCTGGTGGGTGGCGGGGAGGGTGGTTCCCTGGAGGGGGGTGCAGGGGCTGAGGGGGCTTTGCTGGGTAAGTGTGGGTTGCACGCCGCCCAGTAACGTGCTCTTGGCTGTCTCAGCACTTAGGAAGAAGTGTCCACTTGGCCTCTGCTTTCTTTGTGGCATTCTTGCATTTGATACTAGGTGTCAGGCTCTATCTATGAGAAGCCTGGGGAGGATCTTACAGACCAGAGTGGATGTTTACAGTGGGTTCCCTTTCAGTGGTTTTGGCCCACCTAGGCGTAAACGTTTTGTGGCTTTGTGTTCAGTGGAGTGGAACTGGCACGAGCTCCCTCACGTTTCAGGCACAGAGTCGTCCCCCACGTGGCTTCATCCTGGCCCCTCCATTTGCACTGTGAACCACTATTCTGCCCTTAAAACTGAAAGCCAGTGTTTGTGTGGACGCAGGTGACCCCAAGGGTCTGTGTTCTCCAGTGGCATCCCACGGGGCAGAGGAGAGGGAACACGCTTTCATCAAGGAGCTTGGGTGACTTGACCAGGGAGGCAAGGTGGCAGAGGGGCTCCGGGAGCAGGCCCTCAGGGGACACACCTGTGCTTGAATCCGGGCCCTGCTCCCTACCAGCTGACGGTGTGCTGCTTAGCAGCTCGATCCTGGGGCCTTGGTTTCCTCATCTGTAAAATGAAGGAACTGCACTGGTCACGTCACGCTGGGAGATGTATTCAGAGAGCTCTTGGTGAGGATTCCAGCTCAGGACAAGGAGTCACCCCCAAGAGTCAGACATCCAAGCAGGGCCAACAACAGATTGTGAGCCGATGAGTTCCAGCAGTGACAGGTGCTAAGAATATAGGATGTGACACAGAGTGACCGGGGTGGTGGTGGGTGCCTTCAGATTGCGTGGCCAGGGGGTCTTCCCGGAGGAGGTGACACTCAAGCCGAGACTTCAGTGACAGGAAGGAGCCAGCCTTGGAAAGGCCTAGGGAAAGAGCACCTGAGACAGGGAACCCCAGGTGCAGAGGCCCCGAGATAGGAGTGAGCAGGGCTTGTTGGAGGAACAGCGGGGAGGCTGGCTGAGACGGTGGATGGGGATGAGGGCAGGAAACAGCAGGGCCTCCAGTGGGCCTGCCGAGCAGCTCGCATGGTGCCTGGTTCACTGTAAGGCTCTTTGTGCTCTCGTTGTGAGTTGAGAATCCCGTGGCAGTGCTCAAGAGTCTTGTCTCTTCCTGTGGCCAGTGTTCACCATGCTCTGTAGACGATAGGGTGGGAAGGCTTGCGGTCCCCTGCTCTCGGCTTTTCACTGACCTGCGCTGGCGTCTTTCTCCCTCCAGTGCACTGTCCAGGTCAAGTTAGAGCTGGGACACCGCGCCCAACTGCGCAAGAAGCCCACCACAGAGGGGTTCACCCACGATTGGATGGTGTTTGTCCGTGGCCCTGAGCAATGTGAAATCCAGCACTTCGTGGAGAAAGTGGTCTTCCGGCTGCACGACAGCTTCCCCAAGCCCAAGCGTGGTGAGTGCCTCCAGCCTGGTGGGGCAGCCCTGCAGGGACCGACTGTTGTGACATAACCCTTGTGTCATCACTCCTTGAAAGGCTTGTTTCCTCCCTCTCCTCGGGAGCAACGGGGCCCACACTCTGAGCTTCTGGCTTGCACCCCCGTCCATGCTGGAGGGAAGGTACCCAGCCGGGATGCGGCCCTTTCTGACTTTAAAATAAAATGGTCCTCCTGCCTCCTCTCTGCTTGTCCTTCAGCTCATGAGATCATGGTAGGGAAAACCCAAAGGAGGTGGTGACTGTGTCTTGTATCATTGTTTAGATCTGGGCTCTGAGAAGCATGCAGAGAACGTAGCCAGTGGCCAGTGGGTGGGAAGGGCAACTTACTCCCACCTGGTGAGTAATCAGGAAATTGCTTATTGGGCCTACATTTGATGAGAGATGCCATTTTAAGAATTCGTGATATTTGGGGCAAAAAGCATAAAGGTTCTCATTTCACCGCTGTCTTGTTTTGTGTGTCTTCCTTCCCTGCTCCACCCCTCACACTGCTGTTTGTGGAGAAGGAAGCGCCTCATTCGTGTATTCTGCACAGATCTCAATCACCTGTGGCCCAGTAGTCTGAGGGGGCTGAGAGATGGGAACTCACCCAGGTTGCGGGGGGGCGGTGTCAGAGAACACTGCCTAGGGAATTTGGGTTGAAGTTGGGGACCGTCTCCTTAGCTCTGTGGGCCCGGTGCCATGTCTGCTTTTCTCATCATTGAATCCCCCCCCGGGTGAAGTGTGGCACGTCGGTCACAGGGGTCTAGTAAATAATTTCTTGAACGGATGTGTTGATGAAGGAGAAAAGGACTTTTTTGCTGGAAAAGTACTGCAGGGTGGGGAGAGCCGCTGCTGAGCCCTCTGCCCCAAGTGCGGGGGACTATGGGGGCTGAGCGTGAGCAGGCGTGGATGGCCTCAGGCTGAAGCAGGAGCACGGCGTGGGATCTCCTGGGGGCCTGGGCCTGTGCCAGCAAGTGGCTTGTGCTCTAGTGGGGAAATGACTTCTGTTACATATGCAGAAAGTTCTGGTTCACAGGGGAAGGCAACTGGAGATTCCTAGCAGTGTGGTAGCCATTTGTTTTTCTTCTGGTTTCTTCCATCGGCTCTCAGCTGTTCCTTTCCCTCATTTCTCCTTTCCTGGTCTCCTTTTCCTTCTTTTCTTCTTGAGCATCCTGGAGGAAAGCAGCTCAGTTACTACAGCAGCACATGTCTATCAAGCACCTTCAGGAATAAGTCCATGGTGCTTACCGGGCGCTTCCTGCTAAGCTCTTTTCCCGTTCGGGGTCCCTGTGCAGTCTCCCCACAGCGCCCTGACCTATGGGAGGCAGGCTCAAGAGGGCCCGCTGGACGGCCTGTGCTTTAAAGCCAGGTCTGCACACTGGCCTGGGGGCTGGGGCAGTGCCCCCGCTTGTTATCAGCACCCACACGCCCCTTCCCTCGGGTGTTCCTGCTTGCTGTCGGTGCTGTCCTCCTGGGCTGGGCCTCCCGAGCCTCCTTAGGCAGCTTCCTGTCCAGTTCTTCACCGCCGCCCTCCCCCGTCTTCTCCCCTTCCCTCTGGGGTGGCCCCGGTGGGATGTTTCCATCCACCTTTAAGCTGTTTATTTCACCTTTGTGTCCCACTGGGCACCAGAAGCGACACGAATGGCAGTCTGCGTTTATCATGCACTTGCTCTGTGCCATGCTCGTGACAGCCCTGCCACGTGGGGCCTCCCAGAATCCCTCAAGGCAGATGCGGTCACTGAGGTTCAGAGAGGCCCAGTAGCCCGTGGTGGTCACGTGGAGGCGGCACCTGCTGAGTTCCAGGTACTTAGGAAACGGGGTGATGAGTGGAGCACACTCTCTGAACACGTCAGTTCTGGGGCAGAGGTGTGATCAGTAGCTGAAGCGTGCTGGTTTCGAAGTCTGTCTGTGAGTGCGGACGCCCAAACCCAGGGAGCAGCTGCACCAAATGTATCACATTGTGAACATGGCGGTGTTGACCAGACTCATCTTGCCAGTTGTCAACAAGACATGGATCAGGTTAAAGAGAGTGTGAATTTCACACAGGGCTCTCTGAAATTACACATGATCTACTTAAAAAGCATTTTTTCAATCAAATACGTGCTCTTAACAAACCCAACAGAAGTGTGCAGGGCGGGAAGTTTCCCTTTCTGTCTCACACTGGCCATGCTGCCCCAGGGCACTTGAGCCCTTTCTGGATTTCTCCTTCCCGAACATCTTAAAAAGATTTCATTTATTTATTTGACAGAGAGAGACACAGCGAGAGGGGGAACACAAGCAAGGGGAGTGGCAGAGGGAGAAGCAGGCTTCCTGCCGAGCAGGGAGCCCGATGTAGGGCTCAATCCCAGGACCCTGAGAACATGACCTGAGCTGAAGGCAGACACTTAATCGACTAAGCCACCTAGGTGCCCTGATTATGGTGTTTAACACTTTTTTTAAAATTTTATTTATTTTGACAGAGAGAGACACAGTGAGAGAGGGAACACAAGCAGGGGGAGTGAGAGAGAGAGAAGCAGACTCCCCGCTGAGCAGGGAGCCCGATGTGGGGCTTGATCCCAGGACCCTGGGATCATGACCTGAGCTGAGGGCAGACGCTTAACGACTGAGCCACCCAGGCGCCCCATTCCCGAACATCTTAAAAGTAGTAGAAGCAAATTTGCTACCTCCTGATTTTCCAAATTAAAACAATGTTTTTAACTTACCAGCTCTATGCTAAACTCCAGCTCTTCCTCCAGCATCTCTAACAAGTTTTGTAAGTAAGTGATTCGTTTTCAGTGGTTGTCTTTGTGACTTTGAATGAGGAGACAAGCCTGCTCACCTTTTGGATCCTCCACAGTGGCTCCCGTCATCCTTGGAGGAAGACCTCTGGCTGCTGGGTCTAACTCATGGTTTCTTTGCTCAGCCACCCACATGCCACATGCTTCGTAGCCTTTTGCTGGTTTTTTTTGTTTGTTTTTGTTTTTTTCCCTTTTTAGCCCCATCTTAACAAATTACACATGTTATTATCTTGTCCATCTTCCCTCCTCCCCCGAGAGAGAGATGTAGGTCTTGCTGTATGCAGTTTGCTGCTGTGACCTTAGTGCTGAAAGGATACAGTAGGTGCTTACTAAATATTTATTGAATGAACAAATGGGTTCTCCAGCCCTGTCAACTTTTGTACTTTTGTCTGTGCTTTCTGACTTTCCACCTGGGAAGAGAAGGGCCTGAGCTCCCCTGTCTTTCCTTGAGCTTTACACCCCTCCTTCTGCTCTCAGACTAGAGATTAATTCTAGAAGTTGGAAACCAACTGTTCTGTTGATTCTGCTCCCTGTTGGGCTGGTCATGTTGCCAGGATGTCATTCATCCTCTGAGCTCCGGGCCACCCAGAGGAGAACGCTCAAGGTCATGTCAAGGTCAGGTGGGTCCTTTCTGTCGTTCTTGATTAAAATTTCCCCCTGTTTACTTTGCCTCATGTTTGGGCTATAACTTTGAATAATTTGCTCCTCCCTGTTTTTCCCCTGTGCTGTTCTGAGATGTCCAAGGAACTTCACTTTTTTCACATCCTCTCAATCATTTCCTTTATTTGGTGGCGTTTTCCCCTCCTGGATATTTCATTCTGGTTCTCTTTATCTTTCTTCTCTAATTGGGACTGGCAGCTGTCAAGGCCACCTCTTTAGCCGCTACCCTGGGACTTTATTGTTCTCCTGCGGGATGTATTCGTTACCCTGTGTTTTGGCTGCTTGTTTTACTGGAGTAATTGCTAAAGTAATGTCCCAAGAGACTAATTGCTTAAGGGATTTTGAAGAGAGGCACGTGGGAAATAAACTCCGACTCCCGGTGCGTTGGAGAATGCCACTGATCTGTTCTCACACTCGACTGATAGTTTGGCTGGGTATAATACTTTAGTTTGAGACTTGGGGTCACTGAGAACTTTGAAAGTACTGCTTCACCTCTTCCAAGGAGTCCGATGCTACTGGGCTCTGATGCTGCTGCAGATGACCTCTTTTGTTTGTTTGCTTGCTTTTCTCTAGAAGCATTTAGGGTATTTTTTATAGCATTGTTTCTGGGGTCTTTTTTGTTGTTCTTAATGTTGGACGTTTGGTGTCCTTCATTTTTAACTCTGAAAAATTTTCTTCTACTTCTTTGACAATTTCTTTTTATTTTCTCTTTTTTCTCTCTGGGATGCTTCTTACTTAACTCCTGTATGTTTAAATCTTTTCCTACGTAAAACAGGAATAACGGTATCTGTCTCAGAAGGTTGTTCTAAGGATTAAATGCGTTAATATGTATAAAGTGCTAGGCACACAGTAGGTGCTTTATAAATATTAGGTACTGTTACTCTTTGTTTAATCTGAACTGTTTCTTTACATCTCACCCTTTAAAAATGTGTCTTTTTGCTCTGCATCTTGGGAGGTTTCCTCCACTCTACTTTCTAGTCTTTCCATTGAGTTATAAAATTATAAGTACTCTATTTTTAACTTCTAAGAGCCCTTTCCTACTTTCTAATTATCCTTTTTAAAGTATTTTGTTTTTATTTGTTGGGCATATGTTGAATCTGAGGACATTGGCTCTAATTTGTTGTTGTTGTTTTCCTCAAGTTCTCATGTGGTCTCCAAATTATTCCTGTTTTTTTTTTTTTTTAAGATTTGAGAGAGAGATCGTGAGAGAGAGCAGAGAAGGGGGCAGGGGAAGAGAGAGAATCAGGCTCCCTGCTGGGCAGGGAGCCCCACATGGGGCTTGATCCCAGGACCCCAGGATCATGACCTGAGCTAAAGGCAAGACGCTTAACCATCTGAGCCACCCAGGCGCCCCTGAATTATTCCTGTTTCTTTTTAGATTTTATTTATTTATTTGACAGAGCCACAGTGAGAGAGGGAACATAAGCAGGGGGAGTGGGAAAGGGAGAAGCAGGGTTCCTGCAAAGTGGGGAGCCTGATGCAGAGCTCAATCCCAGGACCCTGGGATCATGACCTGAGCCGAAGGCAGATGCTTAACGACTGAGCCATCCAGGCGCCCCTGAATTATTCCTGTTTCTTTGGGTTCTCTCCTCCAGGTGGGAACTCTTACTGGGAGCTCTTTGTAAGGCAGGATGGGTTTTGTTGACCAGTAGGCTTCTGGTTAGGGAGTGGAGCCCCCAATTTCAAGATGAGGTCATCAGAAGAAAGTGATCTGTGATGGGAGAGGGTCAGTGTGGCTGGATCTAGGACCTGAGGCCAGGCTGGCAAGAGATGGGGCCAGTCATGACAAAGCACCTTGCGACACCCTTGAGGGACTTGAAGTTGGTCCTGAGGGCAGTGGGGAGCCATCAGGGGACACGGTCCGGTTCACAGTTCAAAATGATCATTACAGCTCAGGAGTGAGCCTGAGACAGAATAGCCAGCGAGGTGCTGGCCAATAACACATGTGAGAGGCAGGGTGCCTGGGCTGGAGCAGAGGCACGGGGCGCCGGGGCAGTGGGTTATTACAGAGTGTTTTGGAGGTAGACGTGATAGCACTCGGTGACAGGTGAGCTTGGGAGACCGAGGAGTCAGGGTGACCTCAGGTCCTTGGGTGGGTAGTGGGCAGCCTGGGTCCTGAGCTGTGGGATGCTGGGGAGGTGCAGGTTTAAGAGGGGCATGAGGAGGTGGCTTGGGGTCGGCTATATCTGAGTTTCCCATCCGGCCCCCGTGGGAGAATGTCTGAGGAGCAGAAGGAGACTGGCTGGAATAGAGATCTGCTGCTGACCTCACCTGGCCTATGTGGGTTTACTACCTGTTGACCCAGCCTGTTGTGCTGGAGGCAGGGCTGCTCCTTCCTTCTAGGTGGGCTGAGCATCAGACCGAGGGTGGTGACACAGAGGAAGCGGTGCCAGACCGGAGGCGTCCTCATGGCCTCTGTCATCACTCCAGCACCCGACACTGCCAGACGTGGACAGTGGCAGAGCGAATGAATGGATGCAGTCACCACTGCATTTGGCTGCAGTAATGATTTACGCGGAGACCCTTATGTCAGGTGACAGTGTTCGGGGTGCTCAACAGAGGCAGCTGGGGCCACTGCTGGCCTCCAGGAGGCTGTGCTGTGTGCTGTGGCATGTCCTGGGGCTGTTTTGGGAGCCCCCTCCCCCCTGACACCTGGCGGGGAAGCCAGTCCAGTTGAGTAAGCCTCATATACCGGTGGTGTGCAGCGTCCTGCCCCCCCCAGAAGTGTCTCCTGTGGCAGGGCACAGGACTGGCTCCTAGAGTGCCCAGCGAGCACACAGCTGGGGAGATGATAGCTGGCTTCCGGCTGGACTTTGAAGGGAGAAGGGTCTTCAGCATGGGAGGGTAGGATGGGGTGGAAGGAGGGAGCCTTGGGTGAGGTTCCTGGAGCCAAGGCCGGCTCCTACCCCTGCGGCTCATCCTTGCTCTGGTCTGTGAGGCCAGCAGGGCTCCTGAAGCCTGAGCCACAAGCCTGTCCCCTGCTCCCCTGGGGTTTGCAGGCTGGGGTCCCATGCAAGGCTTTCCAGCTAGCCCTGCCTTTGAGGGTCCCTAGTTATTCCAAACCTACCGTGTTGGCCAGTTTTTTGGTGATAGATGAGATTCATGAGGTATTTGATATGTGATATCGGATGAGATATTTGAGAGCTGAAAAGATTTTTTTTAAAGAAAAACCGTACACCATTTTAATTTTTAAAGATTCTTTTTCATTATGTTCCATGCACTGTTTTCCAGCAGTTTCTGGCCCACTTAAGGATTATCTGACTGGTGCAGACATGTGCATAACGGTTTTTCACGATTAGCAGGATGTTTTCCTGTCTCCCACTAGGGATTGCCTCTGGAGAGGGAGGGGGGAAGGACCAGGGGAGCTGACCTGTACTGTTCTGATTTTTCTTAAAAGCGGGAGAATGGTATTTTCATGACAGCATGCCTGTCAAAACATTGAGGTTCATTCTGGAGGGTGTGGTTGCTGGAGGTCATTTTACTTGTACTTTGCTGTTCTTTTTAGTTTCAGCTTCCCACCCCCCCCATCTCTGGGGTTAACAAGTCATTTGGGAATGCCTTTGTGAGGCGCTAAAATGGAACCCAGGGGAGTCCCAGCGAAGACCCACCATCACCATCTCCCATCTCCCTGCTCCCCGCGTCGGTGTCCCTGCCACCCAGCTGGGCCTCTGTTAGCGTGTTTGAGTGAGTAGCGGCAGGTGGCAGATATGGTCCTCCCTGTGGGGGCCGCTGGGGCCACACAGGGCCTGGCACCTCACTGCCCTGATTCGGTTGAACTCATGCGGCCTGTGGCTGGCAGTGGCTACTCTGTCCTAGCTCGTCCCACGTCCCTTCCTGTGCCTCTCTGCCGCCCTCCTTCTGTGGCGGGGTCACCTTTCTCCTGCTCTGCTCCTTCTACGCCCTGTGATGCTTCAAATTCCAGGGGAATCGACACTCCCAGGGGGAGCTGGCCTCCTGAAAGGCCACAGTCCGGTGAGGCCGGCTGAGCCCCCGAAAAGTGCAGAGGGCCCGCTGCCGGCGGCTGGGCCTTCCAAGTGTGCAGGAAGCTGATGATGCATTTTCCCTTTCTTTTTAGTGTGCAAGGAGCCCCCTTACAAAGTGGAGGAGTCGGGTTACGCTGGCTTCATCATGCCCATCGAGGTGTACTTCAAAAACAAGGTAGGATCCTGGAATAGCAGTGAGAAGGACTCACCGTTCACAAAAGAGGAGGTGGAGCTGGGGCTGTCTGCAGGGTGGAGTGTTGGAGTCACTTGGAGCGGACATCCGAGTTACAGGCGCCGGTGCATGAAGGCGGGGGCTGGGGAACCGGCCTGCTGGGACGGCGGGTGGGAGTGCACGTGGATGTGGCCTTCTCGGGGAGCAGCCGGGCCACATCCCCGTTCAGTTGCCCTGAAGGTGTGTGTGGGCCCTGAGTCAGAAGTGACATGCCACGACAGGGCCAGATTCCACGGATGGTCTTAGGGGGCTAGTCACTGGCCATAAGCAGTGGCCAAGATGCAGAAGTTACGTAAACGTCCGACGGTAGGCGAGTGGTTCGATGTGTTTATGGTCCATCTATACAGAATTTTCGATGACCTGGGGGGGGGTTTAATTGTTGAGTGAAAAAAGCAAGTTTATGTATATTATTCATAGATAAAAGGAGTTAGGTTCATCAACATGTTAAAAGGGTGATCTGGGGGCTAGGGTTATAAGGGGTTTTTGTTTTATTTTCTTCCATGTGTGTTTTTTAAACACAACGAATGTATATATTTACATATATTGTTTTATTCCGACCAGGCTGCTGTAACTAAATACCACAGACTGGGTGGCTTATAAACAACAGAGATTTATTGGCTGGAAGTCCATGATCAGGGCGGGTTGGGGAGGGCCCTCTCCCGGGTCACAGACTTCTTGCTGTGTCCTCGCGTGGAGGAAGAGGCAGTGATGTGTGGAGTCTCTCTTATAAGAACAAGCATCCCATTTGTGAGGGCTCCACGCTCAGGACTTAATCACCTTCTGAGATCCCACTTCCTCCTTCCATCACCTCCAGGGGCTAGGACTCCACATAGGAATTTGGCGGGACACATTCAGACCATAGCATTTCTTTTTTTTTTTTTTAAAGCCCAGTGATTAAGATAAAAAAAGAGCCTTCCTGGCAGCCTGCCTTTGTTTCTCACAGGCGCCACCAAGAGGCCACGTGAGCTTTCCGGGCTCAGAGGTATGCTTTTCCACAAGCACGGTTAGCCTGTCTGCAAGCAGCTCTGCCTTCCCTCAGGAAGGAGATCTCCCCGGGAGGCCAGTGGATGCCACCGCTTGCCTAATGAGTCCCTTGTTTAGCCCTGGCTGTTCCGCACACCACCAGGCATCAAGGGCCTCGGGGAACAGTGCTCAGGTGTGCTGACCCACTGGGAGCCGAGTGCCACTTCGGCGGGTATGACTCAGTGGGAGTTGGCTTTGGGCCCTCTGGGGCCCAGGTCACAGAAGCCTGGGTCATCCCGAGGTTTTTGGGGGATCAGGACGCGAGAGGCCCGGGGAGTGGCCACTCTTGAGAGAAGAGGCCAGCCTGTGTGCGTGGGCAAAGGCTCCATGTCTTTTCCGCAAAGGCTGAGGGGGGAGATGCAGGGGAGAGACTGCCCTGCTGGGGCTGGGCCCTGCAGTGGGTGGCGGGGCGGTCTTTGAAGTCCCACCTAGGGAGGCCTCACTGCTCCAGGAGTGTGGAGGACGGGGCAGAGACTGTGGAGGGGGGACGGATGCGGGGGTGAGTCTCGGGGCAGGTGTGTCTCGCCTCCCAGCTCCCTGGGGGCAGCCTGTGGTGGGGGAGGATGATAGCAGCTTGCTGATGGCTGGGGAGACTGAGTCCGTCTGCAGAAAGGTCTCGGTATTCATGTGCACCGGTGTTCTGAGGGGCGGGGGCTGTGGGAGTCCTGTCCCCACTTAAAGCTCATCTCTGGGTTAACTAGATTCATTCCTTTGAGGTTCAGAAGCAGTCTGGGGCCCCCCAGGCCAGCAAGGCTTTCGTGTTTCCTGTGACCTGTCTGCTGTCTAGTCCCTGACACCACGTGGGAGCTGTGTTTGCAACCACCTGGGCAGTGGTGGGGTGCCCGCTCAGCTTCCTGGTGCCCCCCAGGGGCCCGCCAGGAGCCTAGGGCTTAGCCCAGGGGAGGAAGTCCCACACAGAGGCTGTGTTTTGCTGCGTCAGCGGCACTGGCTCTTGGAGCCCTTTCTCCTGGCCCAGGGACCTTTGTTGCTCTCCAGGTTTTCTCTCGAAACGTTGGCAAGAAGCAGGAGTGCTTGGTGCTTGCGCCTTAGCTGGCACCTTTCCTGTGGTGGCTTCTGAAGCCTCTGTTAGTGGTTGTCGTTGCCCAGGCCTCTCCCACCGGGTGGGGGATGCTGCTCGGTTCCACGTACCCCCAGAAAAGGCACAGTGCTCTGGCAGCTGGGAGGGGGCTCGGGGTCCGTCCAGACCCCATTCCAGCTTCTTGGCCGTGAGCCGAATGGAGCCTTCTGAGGGGCTCACCGTCTGGAGGACGGGTGGTGCTCAGTGTTGAACAGGGAGGCAGCAGCTCCAGCCCTCACTGCCTCACCCCTCATCAGGCCTGCAGAGCCCGCTGCTGGAAGCCCCGCCCAGGCTCTTGGGCCGCTTTCTCTCTTCCCTGGGAGCTGCAGGAGCCCCTGGGCGCCCGTGAGGACTGCTCGATTGGGGTTACCGATTACTATGGGACACAGAAGCATTTTTTTTTCTTTTTTCCTTTTTTCAGCTTCATTGAGGTGTAATTGACAAAAAATTTTAAGACATTTAAAGTGCACCACGTGATGATTTAGCAGATGCACACATTTGTGAGAGGATTTTCCCCATCGAGTTAACTAACACATCCATCACCTTACACACCCTTTTTTTTTTTGAGAATATTTAAGTTCTACTCTCTTAGTAAATTTCAGTTAATGAGAGATAGTATTATCAGCTATAGTCCCCATGTTACACATCAGATCCTCAGACCTTATTTGTCTTACAACTGAATATTTGCACCCTTTTACCAACCTCTGCTCGCTTCCCCCACCCCCCAACCCCTGATAACTACTTTCTACTCTCTGTTTCTATGATTTTCTTATTTTTTTAGGTTCCACATGTAAGTGATACTATGTGGTATTTGTCTTTCTCTGTCTGGCTTATTTCACTTAGTGTAATCTCACTAGGTTCATCTACGAAGGATTTTCTTCTTCAAAATCCCAAGCCTGTTGAGATTTCCCAAGTTCCAAATTCTAAGCCCGAATAATATTCCACTGTGTGTGTAGACATATACACACACACACTGGCCACATTTTCTTGATCTATTCATCCATCGATGGACACTTAGGGTGCCTCACAGAAGCATTTTATTTGGTTTTGAAGCTGGAGCCATGCCCCCATGTCTCCAAGCCCCTCGAGACTGCTGGGGACTCTGAAGCCCAAAGAGGGTATCTCCTGCTCCAGCTTGCACAGCGGGTTGGCACAGAGCCAAGATGGCCCAGTGTTGTCTCCCTTCTGGCACGTCCACTACTTGGGATTGCGTGAGGTTCACCTCGGATCAGTGGCAGATCATTTCAGTGATTAAGGACACTTGTCCCAGAGAAGAGCCGCTCCTCTCCCTTTTTATGTTTGGGTCTGCGTAAGAACTGCATGCTGGAGTGTCCCTCCAGGCTGAGTTGTTACCCTGTGTTTATGGAATCTCAGTCAGACCATGTATCTGAGGGCGGCCAGGGAGCCCTTGGAGGGAGAATCGAGCGCCTGGCCTTTGTAGTCCCCTGGCTTGGCGGGTGGCTTTGTGGGGCTGGCTTCATGTTGGAGGATGTTGAGGCAGGCCATGGTTGGTTCTGTTTGTTCAGCACCCCCTTCTCAGCCTTTTGCGGTGGGGGAGAGCTAGGCCAGCCACATGCAGAAGCCCCGGGTCTTACAAAATCCAGATTGAGCAGGTGCAACCTGCCCACCCCCGTAGGAGCCCCAGGAAAGGTCTCCACCATGGGTCACTGCATCTGCCTGCCACGTCCTATACTGCTCCCCTGAGCCTTGCATCCGGACTTCCTTTACTGAGTTCCCAAGGTTCCACCCCTCTGTCCTGCCCCTGGTGGGGAACAAAGGGAATTCCGGGTGACCCTTTGGCCATAGGATGTGTCTCTCCTGGGCACAGCACCCTCACTTCCACTGGGACGTCGAGGAAGCAGAGAGAACCCCTCTGAGGGTGTCCTGAATCCTTGTGTGCTCTTTCAGGATCCTTGGGCTTTCTTATTGGGAGTAAGCAGGTGTGTGTGTATGAGTATGTCTCTCTCTCTCTCTCTCTCTCACAAGGGCAGGGCAGGACCCTGGACTCCTTAAGCCGCTAGTCCCAGCTCCTCTTCCAGGCCCCAGCATGCCGCCACTTCCCTGGGTGTCCCTTTAGAGGGCGCACGTGTGCAGCTCACCGCCCCTGTGTGTCCAGCCATCCAGGGTGGCTTCTGGTTCAATTTAAAGAGTTTTTGTTCGAGTCTGGTTTCTTGAGGCAGAATTTACTTAACTATGATTCTTTCATTTTTAGGTATTGTAGGTTTTTGAAATTTTGGCTTGTGTTTTCATTTGAAATCTGTTGGTGTGCGGCTATTTTTTCTGTTAAAAAAAAAGAAAAGGAAGGTCCCGTTCCTAGGCATAGACTTGTCTGACCAATTCCTGCCGAGGCTCGTGTGCCTGGGGCAGGAGTGCCGCTCTGAGCCTGTTCTCAGAACTGCAGCATGTTCTTGCTCAGGACCCACACTGGCCACCTGGTTTTGCCCCCAGAGCTCTAGAGGGCGGCCCTGAACTGGGAGAACTCGGGAAGCGAGGCCCACCGTGGGAGGGGCCTGGGATGCAAGTCCGGTCACAGGTCCTGTGGGGTGTGCGCACTGGGCCAGGTGTTCTGCTAAGCCGCTACCTACTGAGCCTCCAGACAAGGCCTGGAGGAAGGTGATCTCCCCAGTCTGTGGATGAAGGAGCTCCTGGTTACCCAGTCACTTGGTGAAGGCCACGCGGTCACGGGAGCCTGTGATTGTACGTGTACGCCTGTTGCCTAAACACCCGAGACAGGCATGACCCAGGGCGTCCGCTGCTCACAAATCCTGGTGTTGGCTTACATCTGGGTGACAGGGATAGTGTTTTAGGCATTGTGTGCTGCAGTTGTCTGAATGTGGGTCCC